ACTTTAAAGTTAAATTAATTATCAAACCAATAATATTTCTATAATAAAAATTATAATATTTTTTAAGTAAAATCAAAAAAAAAAATAATATTAATTAGTAACTTTTTGCAATAATTTAAGATCAAAGTTTTAAATTTATAATAAGAGTATTTTCTTTATAAAAGCTAAAATTTTTAATTTTTATTTATTTTATTATTAAAAAAACTTTACAATAAATATAAATTCATAATTAAAATATTATTTATTTATAAAAAAATCATAATTTTAAAGTTAAAAATTTTGTATAAATGAAACTTTATTTAAAATCAGATTTACTAAAGAAAGGAGAAAGGGAAAAACAAAAGTATTGCACATTTTTATTTTTCAATAAATTTTTTATTTTTAATAGGAACATATAAATATTTTTATTTTTTAAAATTTTTAAAAACTGACATTTTAGTATATTTTCTAATAGATTTGAAGTTATAGTATAAAATGTGAATGCAAAAGTTTTTTGTACAAACTAAAGAAAAATTTATTTAAAAAAAATTTTTTTTTATGATCTGAATATCATTATATGTATTATCATATTATATTATAATATGAAATATCACATTTGAATAATACACATCTGGATCAAGATTTATATAAAAAAGAATGCACAAACTTGCATAATCTAATGAGTTAAGATTTATGCATAAGGTGGATCAAGATTCATATTTTTGTTTAAGTAGCAACTTATCTTAAGATTTTGTCATAAATTAGATTATTATTGATTAAGGAATACACCTAAAATTCTGAAGTAAAGTATGTGAACTTTAATATTAAAGAAGTAATTGATTACTCATATTAAGAATCTATATTTAGTGAAGGATTACTATTTGTGATTTTACTTAATGAATAATGCAATTATATTAGAGAAATGTATTTTCTCTTATGCAAAGGGAATGAGAGAATTTCTTGTATTACAGGAAAAATAAAGAAAGAAAAATCTTGTAAACTGTTTCTTATATAATTTACAAGTCTATGTATTCTTAATTTGTTGATTATGTGAATATTAGAATTTAATAATAAGAAGATATTTAATATATGTCATTTAGTGATATAAAATTAAACTACCTTTTTTAATATAATGAAATTAATAAAACTGAAATAATAAAACTTGTTTTTTTATAAATAATAAAACTATTTTACTTAATTGCCAAAATTATATTTAACTTAATTTGTATTTCTTGAATTAAAATATATTATATTTAACTTAATTTGTATTTCTTGAATTAAAATATATTATAAAAATATAATAATATTATATTTATTCATATAAAATATACTAGAGACATAACCTTTTAATAAAACTACAATTTTTCAAAAAAGAGTTTAAGCAGATATTACTAATATTATTATATTGATTAAATTATTGATAGGTTATAAAAAATCCTAAATTCTTTCTAGATATAAAAATCTTTTATAATATATATAAATGATTCAAGAGAATTATTCTAAACTATTATTTTGTAATCTATTATAAAGTCTTTGTAAAGTTATTAATGGTCCACAATATTAAGAGATGATTAATTAGGCTTGTATTGATATGATTTAGCATATAATAATATTGGAATTATTAAGTGTGATTAATCTATTATTCATAATCAATATGTTATTCATCAACTAATCTAATACTATTTCATATGCATCATTAAAATTGTATATTATGTTAATTTAATAACTCATAATTAAAATTTAGTAGATTTAATAGAATGATAATTTTAAAGTTCTTTTAATGATCAGTTAATGTAAATGAAGAGTTTAAATAATTAAATAATCTTATAATAATTTGATTTAAGAGGTTAAATGAATTTATATTATCAATTTTTTATTATTTATTTTTTTTATTATTTAATAAATTTTGATTAAAATTATTTAATAAAAAATTCAATTGGAATTAGAATGTTAAAAAATATATCTATTATATTTTTTTTATTTTATTATTAGAAAAAATCATATACTGTAATAAACTAAAAAGTTACCTTATAGATCACATGATTTTTACTTTATCACAAATCCATCCAATTAGCTAAAATTGGCAGTTCCTCAAAATCTGCCAAATCTGCCAGATTGAATGAATCTGACATATATGCAATAATTGTCAGATATACGATAAAAGACCAATTATTATATTTCTTATTTTTTATTTATAATTTTTATCATTATTATTTTATTTATTTATTTATTTACATTATTAAGTTTCATATAAAAAGAGTAGCTTTAGAACTTCAATAACATTAGACTTTTAAGTAGAGAATTTACTTAGTTTTATTACTAACAAAATAATTATTAAATACACTTGTATACAAACAAATACAACGAATACATTTGTAATAATTCTTTTCTTTAATAAAACTCTCAATTACTTAACCCATAAATCATAGTTTAATTTGAAATACATTTGATCAATAAACCTTCAGAAGCTTTCTATAAATCTTGTATTATAAGTCTTAAAACTAAATTTTTTGTTAATCTTGCGTTAATACTAATTTTCATTCATTAGTATCATATTTTTTATTATTTTGATTTAGTTCATTTATTCATTATTTTTATCTTTTTTATTTGAGTCAAATTTTAATTTAAATTTGTTTATTTAATCGATTAAATAAATACAGAATATTTTTTTTTGTGTTTTTTTTATTTTATTTCTTTAATTTGTTTTTTTTATATTTATATTTTTTTTTTAATTTTTTTATATTATTAAATATATGGGATTGATTATATTTAAAAAATAAAATAAAATAAAAAAATATATATTTTATTTATTTTATTTTATCTTATAATGTAAGTTAGTGAAATTGCTTTCTAATCAGGATTAAACTGAACTAATCCAGATAGATCCTAAGACTAGAAAAGAAGCCGAAAAATAATATAAGAAAAAAGAATATGCATATTAATATATATTTTTTAATCAGTATAAAAAATCAATCGATTAAAAAATATAACATTTATTAATTAATTACAAAATAAAAACTATTTAGGTTCAAAAGAAAATATTTAAAATTTAAAGACTTTCTTTTAGTTAGATACTTGTTTAATTTCTAGTGTAATCATTAGCATAATAAGAATGAACAAAATTGGATTTATATTTAAAACAGTTTTAATATATTTGTTATTGGTATTTTAGTAATATTAGTAGTGATTATTATGGTTGAGTTAATTCAGAATAATTTTTGATGACCTTTATTAGTCTTCAAGTAGTAATAGACCTTAAGATACAATTTGATCTTTTATTATTTTGATTTAGACTAGAATTTGATCATAAAAGATTGAAGGTTTGGTAGTTAATACAAGTTTGATTAAAAGTAGGGATTAATAAGATATTGACAAAATCCAATATGTGTTTTTCTAAGAAGATTTCTATTCTAGAGAAAGAGTCTAAATCAGTTGTAAATAATGCACTTTACTTATTATAAGGGTAGTGGTTAATCTGATGCTTTGAGTAATGATATTAATTTTGTTTACGAGATAGATGTTGAAAGATTGTGATAAACTTCCAAATAAAAATTATGGGATTTTCTTTCTTTAAGTCATTCTTGACATAGAAATTTAGTGCGAACTTGCTATCTATATTCCTTATAATTTGAGTTATTATGCATATCACCATTACATTTATTCCTATGATTAGTATGAAATATCAATCAAAATTCATAATACTTAGAGTAATACTGTTATGTGAACCTTTATTCGCATTTAACTAATAAAGTTTATTTTTTATTTATAATAATTGATTTATTTTTTAAATAAAAAATAATTTTATGAATGATAAGCTTATTGAGTATCAGTTAGAGGATCTACAAATTTAACTTTTAGGTTATTTTAATAAATACTTTTATTTATAAATAAATTACTTTTGTAAGATCTAATTCATCCATTTTAGTAAGACCTATAATTTGTTTAATGATAAAATTTTGCATGACTTTTTCCAACAAAATATAAATGTAATAAAAGATATTTAACTTGCAAAGCATTTTTTTGCTATATTAAATAAAAAAAATACATTTTTTTTTTTTTTTATTTTTTTTTAACTTTTATTTTGGATAATACTTTTTTTAAAAAAAAATCTCTTGTAAAATAAAGCATTATTTGACAAAAAATAAATAAAAAAAAAATAAAATGATTTTGCATGATTTATTTATTTAATCTTTTTCTTACAAATATGTTAAAATTTTTTAAGGATTGGAATTTTTTTATTTATTTTCAAAATTTCATGTCATTTTTTGAAAATTATTTAAAGGATCTGAATTCATTGTAGTTGTAAAAAAGGAAAATATGCATTAATATGTGGCTTAGATTTTTTAAAATAGATTTAATCAGAATGTAAGAATGCAACTTTCATTACACAAGCTTCAGACTTAAATACCCTTTTGTATATAAATCGATCGATTTAATTTAATAAAACAGAATAAAGAAAATCATTTTTTTTTACATTGTAAAAAAAAGAAAAAATAAAATATTAATTTATCCAACTTTATTACATTTTATATTATGAATCAAAATATTACACAATTTATTGGTAAAATATTTTATCTACGATTGCATCGATTCTTTTAATTCGAATTATGATTATATTCTAATTGTTTTATAATTTGTATTAAATAAATTTCATCAAAAGTTATTCAAATCGATTTTTCGGTTACTAACTACGTAATTTACTCATCATCTTTAATTCTTTTCTCTTTTTTTCTCCATATTTACTTTCACTCATATATACCATTTTATTATTTTATTTTTATTGTTTCAATGATATTTTCAGGAGGGAATGATTTAACAAATGCTTAAAAAAGTCTCGTAAGAGAATTAATGATCACACTATAATCACAAAAATTTTAATAGCAAATAATGGTATAGCGGCTGTTAAAGAGCTTAGATCTATTAGAAAATAGGCTTATGAAACATTTGGTGATGAAAGGACTATACAGTTTACTGTGATGGCTACTTCTAAAGATTTATAGATTAATACTGAATATATTCGTATGGCTGATCAATATATCGAAGTATCTGGTAGTTCAGATATTAATAATTATGCTAATGTTTCATTAATTAAGTATTTCGCCGAACATACTTGCTTGTGTTAGCTGGTAAGCACATATATATAAATATATTAATTAATTTTCTTTTAAATTAATGAAATATGATTTGATTTTTCTCATCTTTAGGGGACATGCATCTGAGAACTCTAATCATTAGCGCAGAGTAAACATAAGATAGTTTTCATTGGTCCTCCCAGTTCAGCGATCGTTCGTTAGGTGATAAAATATCATCTATGATCATTACTCAATCTGCAAATGTTCCTACGATAGATTAGAGGTACAAGGTCAAGTTATTATTTCTGAAAGTGTTTACGAAGAGGCATGCATCAAGGACGTTAATGATGGGTTAAATAAAACAAATATCCTAAATGATCAAAACTTCAGAAGGTGGAGGAGAAAAAGAATTAGAAAGTGTAAAATCCAGATAATTAAGCAAGCATTTGCTCAAGTTCAAGATGAAGTTCCTGATTCATCGATTTTCATCATGTTACTTGCTCGAGATGCTTGTAATCTTAAAGTTCAAGTTTTAGCGAATCGATACGGAAATGCGATCCATTATTTAGAAGAGATTGTTCAGTTCAAAGACATCATCAAAAGATCATTTAATAGGCTTCCGTTACGGTTGCAAAACAAGAGACATTTGAATCAAAGGAAAGAGCTGCTGTCTGATTAGCTAAATTAGTTGGTTATGTTAGTGCGAGAACTGTTAAATATCTTTTACAGTCACGAGAAAGATTTTTTTGTTTTCTTGACTTGAATTAAATCCAAGATTACAGGTTTGAATATCCTACGACAGAATGGTTTCAGGTGTTAATTTACCTACTGCTCAATTACAAATTGCTATGTGGATTCCACTTCATTAAGTTCGTGATATTAGAGTTCTTTATGGGCTGACCTTAAGTGGATCAATTTTTATTTTCAGATCCTGAGTCTCTTTAAACTCAAAGGAGACCTGCATTAAAAGGTCAAGTAATAGCCATTCGTATAACAGCGGAAAATCCTGACACAGGATTTAAACCGTAATATGGTGCATAAACTTAATTTTCATAGCAGTACGAATGTTTGGGGATATTTCTCGATTAATTCTGCCGGTGGCCTTCATGAGTTTGCTGATTCTCAATTTGGTCATATTTTCGCTTATAAGAGAATCGTCAGCAATCTCGAAAGAATATGGTAGCTTATCTATTAAAAATGGGTTACAGGAACTTTTTACAAAAAATGAGATTTTTGATTCATATTTTAGTATATTATATAAACTTTATTTGGTTAAATTTTTAGAGGCTATTAGCTTATTAATAAAACAAGTAATTTAGCCGGCAAAAATACTTAAATTTCTGTGTAATATCAATCAAATATCTAAAATTAGATTTTATAGAAATGATCGACGTA